GGGGTCCTGGGTGTTTGGGAGGGACACACGGGTGTCCTGGGGGGTCCCAGGTGTACCCCAGATGTGTCCCCCCCCAGGCAGGCCCGGGCCCGGGTGGTGACAGGGGCGGAACTGGCGGCGATGGCCCCGGGGACCCTCGAGGGGCTTCTCCGCGCCCACCCCGAGATGGTTTTTGCGAGAACATCCCCACAACAGAAACTCGTCATCGTGGAGAGCTGCCAGCGCCTGGTGGGGACACCGGGGGGACACTGGGGGGACACTGGGGACATGGGGGGACATTGGGGACATTGTGGGGACATCAGGGACGTCACGGGGACACCCCCAAGGTGCCACCGTGGTCGGGATGATGTTGGGGGTCCCCAAACTCCCCCCTCCAGCCCCCACATCCCCGAGGTGGCACCACCACAGGAGCGTCCCTGAGGTGCCACAGCCACGTCCCCACTGTCCCCGTGTCCCCATATTGGTGCCAACATCCCCACTGTCCCTGTGTCCCCAGGGCGCCATCGTGGCAGTGACAGGGGACGGGGTGAACGACTCCCCGGCGCTGAAGAAGGCCGACATCGGGGTGGCCATGGGCATCGCCGGCTCCGACGCCGCCAAGAACGCGGCCGACATGATCCTGCTGGACGACAACTTCGCCTCCATCGTCACCGGCGTCGAGCAGGGTGGGCAGGGGGTGATGGGCGCTTGGGGGGGCACCTGAAACACCTGAGAACCCCCTAAAACACCTGGGGGGCTCCTGGAGGGTTGTCCCACCCCAGTGACACCCGTCCCACCCATCTCACCCCTCTCACCTGTCCCACCTGCCCGCATCCCCCCAGGGCGGCTGATCTTCGACAACCTGAAGAAGTCGATCGCCTACACCCTGACCAAGAACATCCCCGAGCTGACCCCGTACCTGATCTACATCACGGCCAGCGTGCCCCTGCCCCTGGGCTGCATCACCATCCTCTTCATCGAGCTCTGCACCGACATCGTGAGTGCTGCACCCGCCTGTGTCACCTGTGCTCCTCTGGGGCCTCCCCTGGGCTCCCCTGGGCTCACCTGGGCTCACCTGCCCCCCGTGCCTCCCTGCCCACAGTTCCCCTCGGTGTCCCTGGCCTACGAACGCGCCGAGAGTGACATCATGCACCTGAAACCACGGAACCCGCGGCGGGACCGGCTGGTCAACGAGCCCCTGGCGGCCTATTCGTACTTCCAGATCGGTAAGGGGGGCCCGGGGACCCCCCACACCTGGGGGGCCACACCTGGGACCTCCCGGGCCCCTGGACAGTCGTGTCCCCAAACACCAGGACCCTCAGGGGCTCCAGGAACCGGCTCACCCGGGTCTCCTCATCCTCCAGGCCTTGGGGACACCTGAGTCCCTGGTCCCGGGGCACCTGGATCCCTGGGTGTCCCAAC